ATGAATTCATCACTTGTAGAACAAAAGAAATATATCACTTGTAGAATAAAAGAAAAAAGAAAAGCATCCAAACATCAGTTCTGTCTCAAGCAGATAATTAAATAATAAATACATAAGTGAACAAGAAAGATTGTAATTCTAAAGGTACCCTGTAATCTTGTGAGGAATAACTAGGTCTAAAGAAACTTACATGAGCTGTCAACATTACATAAGCTACAGATTTCAGTGAAAATGTTACTCCTGGTAATCAACTTGTGATGCTGCTGCCTATTCTAAGTTTCATTCCCTCATGTCATCATAGGTAAGCACTGCCAGAGAAAATGCAAACGTTAGTCGCTGATATATCCAGCTGAAGTCAAGTTAGGCGAGCCAACCTGGGATCAGGAGCCTCCTGAGATGTTTACCCTCCTGACACCAAATATTTCCCTGAAGATTTGTGTAAGAGGTTGTTGAATTTGCCTTGATATTTGCAAGAACACAAGGCGATATGTAGCTCCACAACCTAGAAGATAGAGAAACACTTTATCCAGCATGATGTGTTCCTGGATGTGGATTTCAGATCAACAGCCTGCATATGAAAGTGTTCTGTGCTCACATCTTTGGAAGACCATTAAATTGTTCCCAAGGAAACAAGTAAGTATTGGGGGGAAATTAAATCACAGTTTAAGAGATCCTAGGAGGTCCTATTATTTTATTTTATAAATGAGGAGAAAGGAAACTTATGTGATGGGGTCAAGGGAAGCCCATTGTCCTCCCAATCCTAGTCATTGTTTTTTCCACTTGAATGTACAATTCTCTGTCACCCAGACTTACATGCTCATTACTATCACATTCCCTCACAGAAATGGCTAGCTTGGAAGGGGATTTGATTCAAAGCCAGGAAGACAGTGCCTCTAAACTGCAATACAACTTACAAAACGCTATAAGAGTAGTGTGGCCATACCTTCCTTTCTGAATTTCAGAAGTTTTATACTGCCAACATCTTTTTAAGGATCTCAATTTTTGAGCCATTTTCTTCGCAGCATCAAAGTTTGGACTTTTGGTTTTATTGGCTGTGTATCCACAGTAACTATGAAGAGATAACTCAGATTGCCTAATTTAAAAGATTATTGTCACTTTCTACTTTTCTACCAACTTTCACATTCATTGTCACATCCCTGCCAAGAACATGGAGGCAGTGTTTCATTTTGTGACTATGATCAGGTTAGTTGCACCTATAGTCAGCGTGTTATCGAGAGAATGAGAATTAAAATTAGTCTGGCGTTTTGTAGTCTCTCCTACTCTAATCTCTACATCTCTGCATTTCTAGATTTAAAAGGGCATTTTTGTGTCCCTATATATGTGGAAGAATGAACAGAGTAGTTTATCAATATATTGACCATTCGGTATATCAGCATGATACAAAAATTTGAGTTAATTTAGGAAGAAATGAACCTAGAAACACATGTTGATGTGTTTGGGTGCAAAATGGACATTTTTTTGCAAGCATAGTTCACTAGCAATCGATGACCAGGAAGTTACTTCATAGTTGATAGGATGACAAACTCTTAGAACCTTTGGGGGACTAGTTTGAAGAATTGGCTACCCCTTTTAAAAAGTCAGGAATTAGGATATTCATTCTTATAAAACAAGGTGCTAGTATGAGCTGACATTTTCGCAAAGTCATCTAGGAGGCAAACAAGAGAGAAGGGGAACTACCACTGACCATATGACAGGCATTGGCTTAAGAGGTTTCCATCTTTTAGATACGCCTTCCCATATCTTCATTTATCTGCTGCCAAAAAACCTGAAGTGTTAAAAAGCAAAGCTATCATTTGCAGGACCAAAGTACACCTGACTCAGGTATATGATTTTCAAGCACCTTATATGGATTTAAAAACCGAACAATTATTAAGATAAACTGGCGACAAATTGTGCATTTGAGTTACAATTTGGGTGAAAAAAATTGAAATTACCGTGATTGACAGAAAAAAACAAACAAACCTGCCTTACAAGAAGTACAAGCAGAATGGTCCTGAGAAGCAAGGATGGTGAGACTTCCTCTCACATACTTTGAACATGTTCTCAGGAGGGACATGTCCATGAAAAAGGATATCATGCTTAATACAGAACAGGGTCAGTGAAAAAGAGAAAAACCCTCAGTGAGATATATTGACCACGTGGCTGCAAAAATAAATTTAAAAGTCACAACAATTGTAAGGCTGGCACAGGACCAGGCAGTGTTTGTACATTTGAATTTAGTCAATGACACCTAACATCTTAATTTAATCTTCACAGCCCAATGAAAAGGGTACACAAATGTTTTATGAATGTATTATACTCATAGAAAATAAAACTGAAATTCAAGGACTGAACATATTATTCCTAAAGTCATATCTTATCTAAGTTTATAACCAGTTAGTGGCACTTACTTGTACAATTGAGAAAAGTGTATTCTTTCATTATATTGGTCAAATGGTCCTCTTAGACTCTTCTAAATTGGCTGTGTTTTATCTATAATCAAATTACTTCCTCCAACTCTTTCTCCCATCTCTCTTATTTCTACCAGTTACTTTGCACATTAACTCCTAAATGAGATTTTGACTGGGCAATGAATAAGTAACTCCTATCTGTCTATAATTTCTGGTTTATATGTTTGTATTCATCAGTTCCTGTCTTTATGCATGATATCTCCTCTGACTGGCATAGCAGATCTAATAGTAGTAGCAACAATATTGATAATAATAACTTAGAGTATTGAGTACTTATTCTGTGACAGGTTATTGCATTTATTTGCCTTACATGGTTCAAGTTGTTATTCCCATTTAAATGATGAGGAAACAGAAAAGTTAACTTGACACACTATTTTGCTGTGAGTATTAAAATTTATGAATTTTAAACCAGGTTTCTTGAGTCCAAATCTCTATCAACTGCTTTATCCATTGGGGAAATAATTTACCTTTTAAACCTCAGTGCCTCCCTAAGCAAGCTGATGAGAGTGCCAGAATCTGCCTCAGAGTTGCCTAGTGAATTTATGAGTTAATAAATATGACCGTTTATAGCTGCTTCCTAGCTCATAGTAAGTGTTATACAAAGAATTTGCTATTGTAATAAGTAATCCATTATGATTCCTATTTCCTTAGCCTCCAAGCCAAAACTCAGAAGCTAACACTGCCATAAAATAGAAAGTCCTTGTGCCCTGAAATTGAACTAAAACTGCATACTTTCTGCTCAAAGTACCCTAGGCTTGCTTCTCTTCTGGCAATACAATATGATTAACATTCCTGTTTGTATATAGGTTTTCCTACTAGGCTATGCTTTAAAATAAGGGTCATATCCTATCCTGCCTTGAATGTGAAGGACTGTAAATCAGGAGAAGTGAAGTAAATAAACACTCAAGGACCAGGAGTGGCTTTTGCGTTGAGTGTCCTCTTATACTAGGATGACAATAATAGCAATTAGCAGACCCTGGAGGTGAGTGCATGCGGTGACACGCCAGGGAATCTGTGACTTGGTTGAGGACACTAAAAATATGGTTGTCAATGAGTCCACTCTAAATGATGGCAACACTGTGTGTGTCAGAGTATAATAGTGTGCCATAGGAATTCGAATGGTTAAGTTTTCCGAAGTAGAACTCCAGGACTCAGCTGACTCAAACCTCCAACATTTCACTTGGTAGCCCTATATGTTAACTGCTACCAACTGGGAACACCTGTTAAAATAATATTAACTCTTCTGACTAATAGTAACTCTTCTTCCCCCTTCTTCCAAAGAAAGCATAGTTACAGAAAGAGGCCACCAAGGCAATAAGGATGTGCAAGAGGCTTTTAAACTTGCTTCAAGGACCAGTGGTTGGATCGAAACACCGAATTAATGGTTATTGTGGATTAGAAGTTAAAATGTGTGTGTTCCCTATGCATCACCAAAGAATCATGTATAAACTATGAAGTACCCCATGCCATGGATGAACCTGGATAACTTTATGCTCAGTAAACTCAGTTCATTACAAAAGGACAAATATTGTATGCGACCACTGTTAAGGGAAAAAATCAAGAAGACAAAGGTCTTCATACCAAAGGAAACAGAGTTGGATGGTTAATAATGGGAAGGAGGGCAAGGGACAGAAATGAGACCATAGTCTAGGAGGTAAATAAATATTAACTTGTGTGAAGGGGAAAATAATTTCCACAAAAGAGAGAAGAGAAATCAGAGTAGGTGATTCAGAGGAGTTGATAAGTAATTCAAGTTACTGCACACAAAATAGGTGATCTGCAATGTAAACTCCCGTCTAATTCACAATATAAAATTATTTTTAAAAACTCAAGATGTCCCTAATGCAGAGTATCTTCAGTTATCATGAACAAGTTGATGAGGGGCCCTGATAGCTGAAGAATGTATACGATAGGTTTTGTTAGCAGTATATAAGAGTGACTGGCCAAATGTTTTCTATATTTTATTATCTGTTGATTGACTTTTCTACATATCAGTACAAAATGCAATATATCAATGGAGAAGAGTGCTTGCAAGGCATGGCAATTAGTGGAAATGAGTCCCTCTCTAGTGTAGTATAATATAGATCTAGTTGTAGTATAATATAGATCTAGTGTAGAATAATAGAGATGTAGTGTAGTATAATAGAGATCTAGTGTAGAATAATAGAGATCTAGTGTAGAATAATAGAGATCTAGTGTAGTATAATAGAGATCTAGTGTAGTATAATAGAGATCTAGCATGGTATTATATAGATCTAGTGTAGTATAATATGGACTCCCAAGTGTATGTTACACCAAGCAAGGTAAAATGTGCTCCAAAGTCATAATTTGAGCTCTGGGAAAATCACCATGCGCAGAGACATTCTAGTGCCTTTGCATACCACGTCTAGATTATTGCCCTCACTCACTCTGCCTCTGCCCAGTGTTCCCTCCAACTTATTACACACAAGATCCTGTCCTGGATAGGACACCTGTGGTGTGGGGGGGGGGAGGGATGGGCGGGAGGGTGTATCACATTCAGCTCTTGTGATAGCATTCAAATAGTATAAGCTTGCATTTTTTCATCTTGTTATAGGTGCCTCAATGATGACTTGCCAATGACCTTGATGGAGAACACCTCAGAGGTGACTGAATTTTTTCTTTTGGGATTAACTGATGCCCTAGAGCTGCAAACCCCATTATTTATAATCTTCGCTCTCATTTACTTCATCACTGTGTTTGGGAACCTTGGGATGATTGTTTTGATCCTTTTAGACTCCCGACTCCACACCCCCATGTACTTCTTCCTCAGCAATCTTTCCCTGGTAGACTGTGTTTATGCCTCAGCAGTTGCTCCCAAGGTCATGGTGGCGTTTCTCACAGGAGACAAGATCATCTCCTACAATGCATGTGCTGCCCAGATGTTCTTCTTTGCAGCCTTTGCCACGATTGAAAGTTTCCTCCTGGCCTCAATGGCCTTTGACCGACACGCAGCAGTGTGTAAACCCTTGCATTACACGACCACCATGACAAACACGGTGTGTCTTCTACTGGTCGCCGGCTCCTACATCTGTGGCCTCTTGCAGTCTTCCATCCATGTTGCCTTCACGTTTCACCTCTCCTTCTGTCATTCCAATGTGGTCAACCACTTTTTCTGTGACATCCCCCCACTGCTGGCTCTGTCTTGCTCTGACATCTACACAAATGAGATTGTGCTCTTCGCTTTGGCAGCTTTCAACGTCTTTTTTACACTCTTGGTTATCTTGAACTCTTACCTGTTCATTTTTATGGCTATCTTGAGAATGCATTCAGCTGAGGGGCGAAAGAAGGCCGTTTCCACCTGCGCTTCCCACCTCACTACTGTTTCCATCTTCTACGGGACAGTCATCTTCATGTACTTACAGCCAAGTTCCAGTCACTCCATGGACACGGACAAAATGGCATCCGTGTTTTACACCATGGTCATCCCCATGCTGAACCCTCTGGTCTACAGCCTGAGGAACAAGGAGGTCAAGAGTGCATTTAAGAAGGTTGCTGAAAAAGTGCAGTCTTCATTGGGCTTAGTCTATTAATTAAAGAAGCATGCAAACCATGCAAAGCTTCTATCAGGCTTCTACCCTGGTACCATCAAAATCATTCTAGTCATGGCAACCCATAGGCGTCAGAGAACAACTGTATTACATAAGGTTTTTTAAATGGTTGTAATCTCATAGAAGGAGGCCTGGTATCATAGTGGGCAGCTGTGCACTGGGCTGCAAATTGAAAGGTTAGTAGTTTGAAACCACTAGACTCTTCGGGAAAAACACAGGCTTTCTAATCCCATAACTAGGTCCCGCTCAGAAAGCCACCGAGGCAGTTCTATCCTGTCCTATAGGGTCACTATGAGTCAGAATAGACCCGTGGATATGAATTTAATCATATAGAAGTAAAATGCCAGGCCTTTATACTATGGCACTACTAAACAGATTTGCCAATCTTTTGGTTAGCACAAAAAAAAAACCCAAAAAACAGAAAACCTCACAGCCCAGTGAGTCAATTCTGACTCAAAGTGATTCTAAATAGTACAAAGTAGAATTGCTCCTTAGGGCCTCTGAGAAGGTAAATCTTTGTGGCACCATGCATCTTCATCTTTCCACTGCAGAGTGACTAACAATCAACAGCCTTGTGGTCAGTAGCTCAATGTTTACCCCACAGTGTCATGAAGACCTCTTTTTTGTTGAGCACAAGGAACTTTAGACATAATGAACCTCTAGTTTTCCAAAATGGTAGCATTTATTCAAGGACAAAGTTCAGAGGGTTAGGATATAGGAAATACAGGGAGGAAGGTGGGTGTTTGTGCATTGAAAGGCTTGCAAAGAGTGAGTTGAAACAATGTATATGAATTGTTGAATGTAGAACTGATGATATTCTCTGTAAACCTTCACCTAATTCACAATTAAAAGTTTTCAAATGAAGAATAAGTGTATAATCTAGAGTTACATCTGAAATTCTGAGTTCAAAGGAACTCTATGATCCCTGTGCCGAGCATGAAACTGTGTTTCTCAGACATTAAAGCTCCAATGAATCACTCTGAAATAATATTGAAATGCAGATTCCTAGGATTTAATTTCAGATCACGTGATTTAGTATAGCTATGATGGGGGTCATAACTCTAGACAATTAGCCCTCATTATCCACATGCACCTGATTCCTGAACTTGCATAGGAAGAAGTCAAACTGTGAGTTTAGATAATGGGGATACCATGTAATCTATATCTATCTAGCTCCTCAATCTCAGATAACAGAGGCCAGCCATCAAGGGACAGTGCTGTATGAAAATATATCCATATCCATCCCTTACCGTGTGACACAGACAAGCAAATGTCCAGTTGCTAACCTCATTTAATGTGACGCCACATGTTGCATAGTACAACTATGGGGATTTCATAACTGACCTTCTGGAAACAAATCGCCAGACTTTTTTCAGAGGCAAATCTGGGTGATTTTGAAGTACAAGTGTTTTAGTTCATAAGAGTTGTTAACTCTTTGTGCCCTCTCCCCATGGACTTTGTTAATCATCTTAAAAAAAACAAACACCCCATAGTCATCAAGTCAATTTTGACTTCGAACAACCCTATATAAAGTCTCTGAGACTGTAACTCTTTACAGGAGTAGACAATCTCATCTTTCTCCTATGGAGGGATTGATGTTCTTGCAATTAGCAGCCCAGAGCCTAACTCATAGCACCATCAGGACTACGAGCATGTATCATCTAGTGGGGGCTAAATTATTTGGATATGCTATATTATTCAATGATCACACTGACTCTGAGAAGGGAAACTCTAGATACAGGATGAAAAAAAAGGTTCAGATATGGCATCACATAGGTAAAAGCTGGAAGAACCAGAATTTTAATTCTCTGGGATTCTAAAGCACATGCTTTCCAGTTTAATTTGACTAACAAGTGAACAATGCAGCAGTTGAACAATAATACCCAGTTGAGAAAATACCCACTTTCTCAAGGACTACTAGACGTCTCAATCTAACCTACTTACCTTTGTAATTAAAGCTTTAGAGGAGCTGGAAGGAACATCAGAGAGTCTGGATGACATTGGCCTCATATTTTCCTTGAGCTGTCTAAATCTCCTTCAGTGTTGATAATCTGAAATCACCCCAAATCCCGACTCCTTCATCACAGTTCTAAGTAGAAGCCTATTTTTAAATTCTATCCTTTGAAGTTGTCAGAGGGATATGGAAGGGATCGGAGTCCCTGTGTTCTGTCCATGTGTTTCCACTGCTTACAGTGAATCCCTCATTATCTAGGAAGTCTTGTCATGCTTGGTTTCTAGGACATGTGTGCTACATCATGGGAATTTTCACTTGCAAAAAGAAGTCAAGCTGAACTTTTTGCATACGCTAGTGAACATGCATGTCTAAGGAATAGCAGAAGGCCATAAACCTTAAATTTTGACTTGTTCATCTTAACCAAATCCCAAATGCCCCATTGCTTCACTAAGAAAAAATCTGAGGAGGACAATGAAAGATGAATGTGTGCCCTAACAGCTTCCCTGCCCCGGCCTTTTCAGTTCTGATTGGTGAGTATGTGTTGTTAGTCACAAAGCTGAGCAGCACACACAGCAGGGGAATTTAGTGGAGGATTTAATCCGTTTTTAACACTCTGTGTTGGACACCAGTGGGATAACGTGATAATTTATACTTATTTTGTCAAATATACTTTCGTACCTTTGAGTAAAGAACAACAATGAATTGATACAACTAGAAGTTTCCCTCTGGATTGTGTTCTGGGAATGGAAGCATCAGGAGCAGCCAAATGAGTTCCAGCTCTCCTCCAAACCATTATCTGTGACCTTGACTTCTAAGATGATATATTCAAGGTTAATGGAAGAGGAAATTATTTCCCGTGTGCCACAGAGACATGAAATAAGAGCCTTTGCTACCCAATGTGGTCAAATCAAGCACAATCAAAACTGTTAAGTGAAGATGGGTTTTCTACAAGTTAAAAAAAGGCAGGGGAAGCTCTAGCAGTGGCCGCTAATCATTAGATTTTAATGGGAATTTATGTTTCTAAGAATAGGCATCCAGCAGCCATGGTCGTGTGGTTATGTGTTGAGATGATAACCACAAGGTCAGCAGTTCAAAACTACCAGCTGCTCCATGGGAGAAAGATAAGGCTTTCTACACCCCTACAGATGTATAGTGGTAGAAACCCACAGGGGCATTTCTACTTTGTCCCACAGAGTCTCTATAATTTATAATGGACCCAACGGCAGTGAGAGGATAGGCACCAGATCATATAATGGACTTTGTTTTTTAATGCTATAATATAACTAATAATAATAATAATCTATGAATTCCTAGTATCTCAAACAGTTTAGCAGTTCTCCCAAATGTCAGTGTAACACTATTCAGTGGCTCTGTAGGATAAATACCTGGAGATCTCTTTCTATAGAGATTATAGCCAAGAAAACCCTATGAGTAAGTTATACTCTGTACCACAGAGTGACTATGAGCTTACTAATAACCTGCCGTATGCAGATGACACAACCTTGTGTGCTGAAAGTGAGGAGACTTGAAGCATGAATATCGAGGATTGCAGCCTTCAATATTGGTTTACCACTCAATGTAAAGAAAACAACAATCCTCACAACTGGACCAATAGATGTCAAGAACCGAAAAATAAAAACCAACTCACTGCCATTGATTCGAGGCTGACTCCTAGTGAGCCTATAGAACAGGGTAGAAATGTCCCTGTGGGTTTCCCAGGCTGTTAACTGTTTACCAGAGTAGAAAGCCTCATCTCCCTCCCACAGAGTAGCTGGTGGTTTTGAACTACTATCCTTTGAGTTAACAGCCCAACGTGTAACCACTACTCCCCAGGCCCCCCAATAGGGTAACATCATGATAAATGAAGGAAAGATTGAAGTTGTCAAGGATTTCATCTTGCATTAATCTAATCAGTGGTCATGAGAACAGCAATCCAGAGATCAAAAGACATTTTGTATTGGGTGAATCTGCTGCATAAGACTTTTTTAGAGCATTGACAAGCTAGGATGTTACTTTGAAAACAAAGGTGCACCTGACCCAAGCCTTGGTATTTTCAATGGCCTCATATGCCTATGAAAGTTGGAAACCGAATAAAGAAGACTGAGTATGAATTAATGTGTTTAAATTGTGGTGCTGGTGAAGAATACTGAAAACACCATGGACGGCTAAAAGGACACACACATGTGCCTTGGAAGTTGGATACCCAGAGTGCACCATAGAAGCAAGCTAAAGGAGAAGGGCTTCATAAATTAGACAGGCAGGGAAAGGGAGGAAGGCCATCAATGAAATGGATGGACACAGTGGCTGCAACAGTGGGTTCAAGCACAGGAACAATTGTAATGATGGCACAGAACCAGGCAGTGTTTTGCTCTGTTTTGCGTATGGGTCAGAATCACTCAATGGCGCCTAACAGCAATGAGTTGAAAGCAGCTTGATGACACCTCACAAGAACAGATATACTACTACCCATTGTCTTGACCCAAGTCAATCCCAACTCAAGATGACCCTATGTGCATCAGAATAAAAGCTATGCTTCCCCCCCCACCCCAGAAGCATGTTCCTAGAACATCTGAGTGGATTTGTACTGCCAATCTTTCAATTAGTAAGCTAACATTTAAGCATTCGTGCCACCCAGGGAATCCTTATCTTTTCATACGATTTTTAAAGAAGTTCATTGCCATCCAGCCTATTCTGATTCATTGCCACCCTAGATGATGCCGTGGTCAAACATGTGTCCGTTAATCAAAAGCTGGGTGGTTGAATGCCACCGGTCACTTTGCAATGGAAGAAAACGATATGGCACTGTGCTTCCATTGAGATTTACAGCCTTGCTTTTTCCCACCATACTCCTGTAGCAAACCTAAGGAAACCAGAGTCATCTGGGGAAAGGTAACTCTTGTTCATGGAAACTGGCATGGTTTGAGCCAAATTCAGTAGTAACCTGCCTACTAAGGCCATTGGACACAGAGTCGGTGTGATACTGGACCCCCTCAAGGATTTAAACTTAATTACAAGTAAATAAAATTGT